CCTAAAAAAATCAATTTAAATAAATAAAGAAAAAAAGACATTTTAATCTCGATGGACTTCTCTATTTTTTGCATTCCGTTTGAAAAACATTTTGCATGAATGACAGACAATCGCTCCATAATAAGAATATCGAGCAGGAACTCCACAAATTTTGCACTCGCATAAAGTTGTGTTTTTCTGTCGCTCAATATTGGTACAAAGCATCTGTGATGTAGTTAAATCTTTACTAGCTATTCTCTCCATTATTAGATCACAAAATATCTTGTATGTATGCGTTAGAAAATGCACCGATAAATTAGAGAAAGAAGAAAGAAAGAAAAACGAGACAGACCTTGTGACCTGCGTGCATAACGGAATTGCGAAATGGCAATGAAAGTCAAACAGAGAATGAAAAATGGGTTTTCTGACTCTATCAAAAGAAATTTTATATCGATCAATGATCATTGGTTTTGAATCGAAAGAACGGATGTGTACTTTCTGAGGACAGAGAGAGATGCACCAAATTGACCTGAGTGATTTGTTTTTCCGTATGCATACAGATTAGATCAAATCTTTACAATTGTTTTGTTCCGTTTGGTACACATCTAGTATAATTTTCTGATGAACCGATAGTTCTCATTTGTTGAGCACTGAATTTTATGATTTTGACTCATTCTGTTCATATATGTATATGGTAGCTCGTTAAAGTAAAAGGTATGAAAGAAGAACAAGGTTATTTTGGTTAGGTATATTCTATAATTGATTCATTTTCTGATTATTGTGCAACAGTATAACAAGTTTATTAAAGCATAAATTTTATTACTTTTCTAAGCCTTTCATTGTTTTTATGCATATTATTCAGTTTTACTATCTAAAAATGTCGTTTAAGAGAAAAAGAACATTTTATCTGTAAAAATATCTATAAATTTTTCACTCTCTTCAGTGATTTCTTTAAAGACAACCAAATATACATTAGATGACTATACTAAAATGAATATATTCAGTTATTGCACACCTTATATTCATCTGAACGTGTCATATGTTTATCATGTGCATTAACAAGCGTAGGCTTCAATTTCCAACACAACAAAAACCACACATGAAGTGGAAAAAGTAATTTAAGAAATAGTTCTATCAACCATCTACCACTTGATTCGAGAGTATTTGCAGTCAAGCTGAAACTGACAGCGACTGAAGGTCGTACTACGTTAAAGTATTTGATGGAAAATTCTGCCAACTTTCAATCGACATCATGATTCTTTGAAATCATAAAATATCGCCATTCCGCATATAATCATATTAGAAAAATAGTCTCGTTTTAGAAGTACTATTCGATATCATAGTATAATCATTAGTAAACGGTTTTGGCCATGTTGAATGAATATTTCTAGTGCATATCTAAGGAAATAAGAAATATAGATCTGAATTGATTTAATTGCTAAATGAGAGAATACAAACGGTTGTCTTATAGTCGACGGTAGTAAAAAAGTCACATACTGTGATTAACCTTTCTCATGTATGCAAAATTTGAGAGCATATTGAATAATATTCTGATGAAGTAGAAGAACTAGTCTATATACTAGTATAACTAGTTGATCCTCAACTTTGACCCGTCGACCCTCCCCTTCATTTTTTGCGAAAATCGGAATCTTCATAAGAACTGTTTAAAAATGATCAAAGAAACTTCTATTAATTGCATAAGACTATTCAACTTTTCATAATCATGAATTTAATGCCTTTATTGAAAACAAAATAATATCTACTTCATGTTCATCTAAAATGTACGTTGTTTGCTATAATACTAAATACAAACACAAAAAAAGACAATAGAATACTTTTAACTACAAAAGGAAAGTTTGTTCAGTTTGTTCAATAATTGAATCGATCATTTCTGTAAATTTTTGTGATTCATGTGCTTCAGCAATGGCTCCAGTTACAGCAAAAAGACATCTTGTAAGATTTGAGAAACGTTTTACAGCTTCATGATGACCATATTTATATAAGAGATATCGCCATGCTAAATCTGTATACATATCTTGAAAAGGTAACATTACTTTGTTATTTGTCAAATCTATTTCAATGTTTTTTCTATATACAATATAATTGATTGTTGAGAAAGCAACTATTGCTAATATTAATTTAATAAATGTATTATCT